CCCTTTCTCCTCCTTTCTGTCTACTAAAGGTATTATTCATCAGTCATTATGTGTTTATACACCTCAGCAAAATGGAGTTGCTAAACGCAAAAATCGTCATTTATTAGAAGTCACTCGCACTCTCCTTTTTCACATGAAAGTCTCTACAGAATTTTGGGCAGATGCAATCTCTACAACATGTCACTTGATCAATCGCATTTCTTCTTCTGTTTTGGGTGATCAAATCTCGTTCTTCATCATTTTTCCATCACAGCCTTTATTCTCTCTTCCTCCTAAAGTGTTTGGGTGCACGTGCTTTGTTCAAGATGTTAGACCTCATGTCTCCAAATTTGAACCTAGGTCCCTCAAGTGCATATTCTTGGGTTATCCCTGATATCAGAAGGGTTATCGTTGCTTTTCTCCTGTCCTAGGTAAGTACCTTATCTCAACTGATGTTTCCTTTTTTGAAACCACTCCATATGTTGAGACCTCCACTTCATCTACTTCTCTTGAAGCACCCCCTAATGATCTTCTTGTTTACAACATTATCCATCATAGTCCTCTACCATCTCGTCCTCCTATCACCTAAGTATACTCAAGCAGGGTTCACCAGCACCATGAGACACCTGTAGCAACATCTGATCCATTGCCTCTATGACTGCCTCGCCCTCGGATCCGGTTCCTCCTTCCTCTTACCATGATCATGATCTTCCCATTGCTCTTCGTAAAGGTAAGCGCTCTTTTACCTATCATATCTCCTCATTTGTTTCCTATCACTCTTTGTCTTCATCTTCCAAGTCTTTTATTGCCTCTTTAGACTCCGTGTCTGTTCCCAATTCTGTGTCTGAAGCAATTACTCATTATGGGTGGCGAAGGGCTATGGAAGAAGAGATGTTGGCTTTAGGACATAATGATACATGAGTTCTAATGGAGTTGCTTGAAAATAAAAAGGCTATTCGACGCAAATGGGTTTTCACAGTGAAGGCTAATCCCGATGGGACTGTGGCTCAGTTGAAAGCCCAGACGTATGGTATTGATTATTCTGAGACATTCTCCCCAATGGCTAAAATGACCTCTGTCCGACTATTCATCTCTCTTGCAGCTTCATATTTTTGGCCTCTTCACCAACTTGATGTAAAAAATGTATTTTTACATGGTGATCTTCTTGAAGAGGTTTACATGGAATAACCTCCGGGGTTTGTTGCTTAGGGGGAGTCAAGAAAGGTATGCAAACTGAGGAAATCTTTATATGGCTTAAAGCAATCTCCACGAGCGTGGTTTGGGAGGTTTAGCGAAGTGGTGACTCAGTTTGGTTTACATAGGAGTGCTTATGATCATTCTGTCTTTTATAAGCAATCTAATTTTGGCATCATTCTTTTGGTTGTTTATGTTGATAACATTGTAATCACTGACAATGATGATGTTGGCATTCAAAGTTTGAAAAACTTTTTGGCTTCCAGATTTCACACAAAAGACTTGGGCACTTTAAGGTATTTTCTGGGAGTCGAAGTTTCTCGGAGCAAGAAAGAGATTTTTCTCTCTCAACGCAAGTATATGTTAGATGTGTTGACCAAAATGGGTCTAAGTGAGGCTAAGCCTTGTGACACTCCTATGGTTCCTAATGTGAGATTGAATGATGAGGATGTAGAGACGTTTGGTGATCCAGAAAGATACAGAAGGATAGTTGAAAAGTTAAACTACCTTACAGTAACCCGTCCAGATATTGATTTTTCAGTGTGTGGTGTGTCAATTTATGTCATTTCCTAGAACATCTCATTGGGATGCGGTCTTCCATATTTTGCAGTATCTAAAGGGAACCCCTGGACGTGGGATTCTTTACAGTGATCATAGTCATAATAAGGTAGAAGGTTTTTCAGATGCAGATTGGGCAAGATCCTCTGTGGATAGACAGTCTATGACTGGGTTTTGTGTTTTTGTTAAAGGAAATCTTATTTCTTGGAAAAGTAAAAAGCAACCGGTTGTAGCTAGGTCAAGCGCAGAAGTCTGAGTATCAGGCTATGGCACAAGTTACGTGTGAGCTCATATGGACAAGACATCTTAGAGAAATTGGGTTTGGTGACCCAAGAACTATGGACTTGTGGTGTGATGACCAAGCAAACATACATATAGCAAACAATCCAGTCTTTCACAAGAGGACTAAACATATAGAAGTGGATTGTCACTTTGTACGAGAGAAACTTGAACAAAAGCTAATTGCTACTAATCATGTTAGAACTGGGGAACAACTAGCTGACATCTTCACGAAGTCTCTAGTTGGTAAAAGGATAACCTATATTTGTAACAAGCTGGGCATGATAGATATATATGCTCCAGCTTGAGAGGGAGATTTGGAAACTATGTATATACAGTGTAAAGGGTATATTTGTAATTACTAAGTCTGTGTATATATTTTAGTTAGGTTGTACTGTTGAGATACAAGAAATATAGAAAGTGAACAAAACTGAAGCACTAATAGAAACAAAAAGTCTAACTTGGTCTAATAGCCAATCATTATTATCATCTCATGTCTCAAAAAAAAAAAATATATGATTATTTTCTTCTTGTCATATAACCCAAAGAAAAGCAAATACTACACACCTCCAAAGAGATTTAGACTTCCTTCCTTCTCAAAAAGCAAAACAAATCTCCGTAAGTAACTGGATTCTGTACAAACTCTAGCCCATAACTTTGAAGCCATAGAACAATGAAGAGGTGATTGTCTCCAAAAAATTCTTTTGTTGGAATATGAAGATTTGTGAAGTAAACATTAACTTTTTTCAATTTTGATAATCAGTGGACTTTAAAAAAAGGATGTTGAAAGTAGTTCTCTGGGTGAATATAACCCCCTCCATTTAGTATATATACTACAAGCATTCACAATAAACATCAAGTCCAAGACCAGTTACCTCAATCGAAGGCAAAAGTAAGGCACTAAATCAAGGATCTCTTCCAACCATTTATACAACTTCTTGATCACTTTCCATTCCCAATGCCTTCATGATAACTATTATAGGAATCTACAAAAAGAAACAATAAAATGAAAAACCCTACCCATATATATTTTGAAAAGAGATATATGCAAAAATGATAAGAAAGGAAAATCAAAACTATATGTATAGGACTACAAACCTTTTTCACAAACTAATTTGAGGATCAAATACATTCTCTCCTTCTCCATCTGAATAAATATTTTGCTTTTTACTGTCTCAGTACTACTTGTAACAAATGCATTTATACTAAAAACAGCTGATGACAAACCAAAACACATAAATGACATCATGAGAAATATTAAGGACTAAGAATATTTGCGATCTATAACAGGAGATTTCTCAAAGTCAAAATTTAAAGTCCGTGAAATAAGCGCATTCACTGAACAAAGATATCAAGAAAACACAAGAAAACTCCATCTAAGAACAAAAGCTTATCCTACTAACATTGAAATAGAAAAAAATGTCATATTTTTAAAAGGAATCTAGCGGTCCATATGGCCCCGTATAACTCAAACGTCAGACAATAAAGAAACCTTGAAGCCAAAACCAACTCCGAAACCTAAACAGATTTCACCATTCTTCCAAACTCTGTCCTTGAAAACCAAGTTCCTAAGTTCAATCCACAAGTACAGTAACAATAATTATAGCCCAGATCCAACAAATTAAAAGAACACAAAGACACTATTTTTCCTAAAATTGGAGAAGACTGATGTAACAAAAACTTAGATAACTTTCTGAATAGGCCTAAAACCACGCTAGAAAACCGGCTTAAAAAAGCTCATAACAAATGTGGGCCAGAATTTTGATTTCAATTGTCCTAAATCTTACTTATCCTTTAATATTTTAGTTATCTACATTAGAAGAGTGTGGGGCCACAAGGGAGTGAAAGAGAGAGTACTTCCCTATACTAGCTTCTTGAATTAATAAACTTAATTTGATCTTGGTGTTCAAATGAAGACTATTTTCCTATATGATGATAAATTTAGTGCTAACTAGAAAATACAAGTCAAAGAAACATGGACAAACATTCCACCAAAATCTCAAACTAAAATATAAAACAACATTGATGTTAAAATAAAATGTCCCAAATTTCCATCGGCGACACCAAATTAAATTGGTAGATAACATCTAGCCATTTGATAATAGACTATGAGCAAATATTCTCACTGATAAAATTTTATGTGATAAACTTGACATGAGATAAGCAATTTTGAACAAGCTTTCCCAAATCCAAGCTACTTCTTTCAACCACTAAGCATCTACGACTGCTAGTAAAAGAACACCAACAATCGAAACACAAACAAAAGCATCCCAATCTAAATAGTGTTTTTTCTTCAATGGGGGAAGATTGGCTCTGTTAAAGATTTAGATTATTGTTATATGTCGCTGCCATTAAAACTTGGCCACTTTAATAGTTTGACATCAAAAAAGCTATTTGTATTAAAATAACACAAGCAAAATGAAATAAGAAATAAACGAAAATAATAGAGGGAGAGGGAGAATGTTAGGATCCCACATTGAAAAGGAAAAGGGTGGGCATGTAGGTTATAAAGGCTTGGGCACCCTCCCTTGGCAAGCCGGTTTTCCAAGGAGAGTTCTACCCAAGCCCATGAAAGACCCATGGCCCAACCCAAATTGTTAAGTTATTAGAGTGGGTTCCTATCAATTGGTATCAGATCATGATCCTGCACAAGCGTGGCAGGCTGACCTTGGGCTCGGGCTGCTATCCCAAGGAAAGGGGATCTGCGAAGTCACCCAAAGGGTAAAGAGGCCGACGTGGAGCCCATGCAGCAGGGCCCAGTGGGCCCCTCGAGGGGTTGAGAAGGAGAGTTGTTGACAGGCTTCTAGGCGAAGTAAGACCCAAAGGGAGGACAACAAAGGCCTATGAGGGCGGGCGCTCTCTGAAAAGAAGACCAACGAGGGCGTTGGGTCTCGAAGCGTGAGGGAATGTTAGGATCCCACATTGAAAGGGAAAAGGGTGGGCATGTGGGTTTTAAAGGCTTGAACACCCTCGTTTGGCAAGCAGGTATTCCAAGGAGAGTTCTACCCAAACCCATGAAAGACTCATGGCCCAGCCTAAATTGTTGAGTTATTGGAGTGGGTTCCTATCAGAGAAGAATACAATTCTCAATAGAAATGGGATGAATGGATAATTTTTTTATAAGAAACAAGAAACAACTTCACATTAAAATGGATAAACATATAATGAATAGCAATTAATATCAAAAAATTAAACAAACAAAAGAAAAACTCAACTAAATCACTTAAAATTGAGCCAAGAAAGCCTCATAACTTGTATATATAACTTTATCCTACATAAAAAGATCAAGGAAGAATCAAACACTGTATAAGGAAAAAGCATACAAAACCATACAAACTACTCACTTCCCCTTCTTGTCAATATCAATAATTATTCTATTCTTTGAAAGTTGCTCTTGCATTAATATCACCTTTAAAAGATATGTGATGTCATTAAATCCTAATAACCAAATACCAAAGTAAAGGACAATAAGTTAAGCTAAATAAAACACTTTAGAGAAAAACTATGGATGAAACAAAACTTCCCAAGCCAAGTAAAATTCACAAACTGCATGAAATGATAAAATACATGAACAATAAAATCCATTCGAGAAATGCAAACCAAAAAGATGACTAACTCAAGGCTGACACAGTAATATCTAACATCTTTTAATCAATAAAATATTTCATATTCAAGTTGATTGAATATTCACATATACACTTAAAGCAACATATTTGAATATAAATGCTAGTGCTAGTGATCAGTTTTAAGTCTTCAGGTTTAACGGTCAATAGAATGTTTCATCTATCTTATTATGTCAATTTCACTATCATTTATCCTTTATGTCAATTACATTTTACATGTTTATGCTTCCTTCTTGACAAACTCTCAGTGCTTCCCGCCAGCATTTTGTATGACTAAGAAAGATATCAGAGTATAAAGGGACTTTAAATGTATGCTAACTAGAATGTTCCTACTAGAACTTAAATTTTTTTTCATGTCCCATCAAAATAAATATAGTTGATTCTTTCTCTCTCACCTTACAAGATTAAAATAGTTTAGATTATATCCTCCAATTCAAAGCACATTTTAATTGCATCAACAAAAGATTAGAACCCTTTAAAAAATAGTTCACACAGTAGCAAAATCAATAAGAGTGGCCATCATTGCAAATGGTATCAACCAAGATTCTAGTTATTGTGCCGTTAATAATTGTTTCCTCCACTTTTATCTTTACCTATTCTAGGAATAGCAAAAGGAATAGCAAAACTTGGCATCTAACATTGCATAGAATTCCAAACCCCTTGATCATATGTTCACACATATGTACATGGTTAGTTTAACATACCAACACTTTCTCTTGTATTAATATTCCAAAGCATGATCAGAGTATTAACTTCTAAGTTCCTTTAACGATAAAATATCCTCCAGGATCTAGAGGGCACTCACCTAAGTCAAAGGCAAAAGAGATAATAATTATTATGCAGCTTAAAGAAGCATGGACCCAAAATAAATACACGTCATAAATTTTAATGCTCATGCAAACAAACCAAGTCTCGAAAGTTCAGTCACATCTTTTCCATGTAAAACACAGAAGCAACTCTGCAGCATTACAGGCATTCTTCCAATAATAATATCGTTCTGCAAGAAGGAAAAAAAAAACGCAGACACACACATAGTGTCGTTGTCCATACCAAATAAAATTACCACAACATCACTAGTTACCTTCTCCATAATAGTCTTTTCAGCATGACTTCATTGAATATATTCAATATTAACCAATATCAGTGCGGCACACCTAAAATTAAAGCATATTCATGGGATAGTAAATGAGATGTATACATGCAATTTACACATTAGTTAAGCATATAAATTAGAAATTGATTACATATGTCATATCATAGCAGACACATGTGAGGATTAAGCTTTTCACTCAAACCATCCTCAGTCACAGAAGGCTGACCAATTCTAACATATTTTACACCTATATATATATATATATATATATATATAGTCATCCGGAGCAATTGAAAAATTGAAACAATAAATTTAACAAGTAGTACCGTAAATAAATTTCTTAACAAATAACATCTGTTGAAATCAAGCAATCAAACATTGAAACTACGAAATTCATGACAGCAAATGCCCTAAAATAGCATTGTTCTACTGCATACCGATCCTAAACAATCATTACACGAAATACAACAAAGCAAGGTACATACATTTTTACCTAAGGAAGATACTTGGATCAATTCCCGACACAATGCGATCATTGGCACGAACAATCTTCTTTACACCAATATTAACAAAGTAACTAAACGAGTCCAAATGTTGTTTCACCAATCCTCTCACCTATAAGAATAATATAAAATTGTAAGAGTAAATTCGAAAAAATAAATAAATTAATAAATACAATAAAATAAAATACATTTAGTTTACCTTCAAAACTCAGGAAGAAGCTGAAACTTATCGACAGTAGATTTCAGAAGAGCAGCAAGCTTTTGCTTGCTATTAAAACAATTTTCAATTTAAAATCATAATGTAATCCAAATAAAAATTAAAATTAAAAATTCATGTAAGTACATCAGAGAGAGAAGAACATACTACTGTTATTCTGTTTGCATTATGGTCATTATTGATCCAAAGCGTTTCGAGACGTTGAAATTCTAGCGACTCAGTGAGTCAGTAGGTTTTCTTCTCGTCTAGCGACTCAGTGAGCAATAGGTTTTCTCGTCTCTCTCTTATAGTTTTCGGTAGGGGCAAGATGGTAATTTCAGCTACTGAAACTTTCAGAAGATGTAGAAGGATCTAGAAAATGAAGAAAAAGAAATCAGCAAATAAAGAACACCAACTGAACACTTGAATCGGATAGTTTACGAGTGGTGGCTCTGGCATCGTCGGCAACAGCGATTGAAGGAGGGACTGATTCTTGTCAAGGACGAAGATCGGAAAGGAGTTGGAGCTCGTCGATGAGGATGGTTGGCTAGGGATGGCGGCATGTTGATGACGGCGTTGGAGAGTGGCTAGGGCTTCGACGACGGTTGGAGAGGGGTGACGTTAGGCGATAAAAAAAAGTTTTTTAATTGTAATAAAGATTCAAATTATTGTAATAAAGACTCAAATTGTGTTTTAAATTTCTAAAATAACTGATTTTTAATATATCAGTTAGAATATGTTGAAATAATTTATTAAAATAATTTTGCTCATTTTCTAGATAGTTATAAATAATTTTGAAAATTAATTAATTAAATCGATTCAAGCATTATTAATTTAATTTTAAATATAGCCGTTAGAATTTTTAGCAATAATTTATTATTTAGACCTTTCATTTTCAAAATAATTTTATTATTTATTATTGAGTTAATGGTATTAATTTTTTGAGGTATGATATAATAATAAAAATTCCGCTAAACTTTAAGAAATAACAAAAAAAATCTTTTTAGTTAAATTTTAGGTATTAAAATTAATGGTTGGAGGGCAATTCGTAATCTTTACTAGCTCATAACAATATAAATTATAACATTTAATAATAGTAAAGGAATTTCTATCATTTTGGAAATCTCAAAAAAACTTTTATTATTATATCATTCGTCAAAGGACTTTTCTTATTAACTCTTTGTTATTTTACTCCTTATCTTATAAGGATTAAAATTATATTATAATTCCAAAAAATAATTAGTTAAATAAATTTAAACATTATCAATTTAATTTTTAAATAAAGCCATTAGAATTTTGAGAAATAGTATTTTATTTAGCTCTCATTTTCAAGATAATTTTATATTCTTTTTTTTTAACTCTTTGTCTTATAAGGACTCTAAAATTGGATTCTAACTTTAAAAATTAATGAGTATAATTAATTTAAACATTATGTATAAGTTAATAACATTAATCTCTTGAGGTATGATATAATAACAAAAATCTCTCTTCATTAAATTTTAATTATTAAAATAAATAGTAAAAAAGTAATTTGATAATATTTACTGACTCATGATAATGTAAATTTTAATGGCTTATAATAGTTTATTAACAGCAAATAAATTTTTGTTATTTCAAAAACCTTCAAAGATTTTTGTTATTATATCATTCCTCAAAGGGGATTAATGTGTTAACTCTTTTATCTTATAAGTACTCTAAAATTACATTCTAATTTTTAGACATAATTAATAAATTAATTATAACATTATTTATTTTTTAGGGTTGATTATTAGAATTTATAGAGATAATTTATTATTTAGACCTGCTCATTTAAAAAGTAACTTTTATATTAATTTATACTAGTTTTGATTTACATACATAGCTCCAAGTAGTTTGAGTTTTTTTTTTTTTTTTAATTAATCTCTATTTAATATAAATAATAACACATTAACATATATGTACTAATTAACAATAATACACATATTATTCATCATAAAAGTGGAGAAGCATGATAAACACAATTACATTTGAGTCCCTCAAAGAAACATAAAGGGAGCCCCATCAATCAATCTTTTTTCAAAAGCACCCTTGATGAAATTGGGCTGCTCTTGTTTCAATTCTTCACTAGTTTGTTGCTTTGAAAAGCAGTAAACAGGGGCCTGCCATTTCTCATCGTCAAGCACTGCCCCCACTTTAAATGTCATCACATGAGCTTCTCTCCCTGCAAATTATTAAAATAAATTAATTAATTAATTAATTAATAATATAATGTAATATTTAATATAGAATTTAAATAGGGGTTTTTACATTTTTAAGAATAAGAAATACAAAACATTTTTTAGTAATAATGAGTCAAAAATGTTTTTTAAAACAGTTTACGATACAATCTTAAAAATCAATGTAAAATAAAAAAGCTATTAAAAGTTGTTTTCATATTTTTCAATAGTTTTAATCTAAAAACAGTTTTTGAATGCCTTTACTGATACAAAACAATGTTAACTTGTTAAGAACTATTGTAAAATCAAAGTCGTTTTCACAATTTTCTATAGCTTTCAATATATATAAATATCGTATTTGTAAATATTAAAATTCAACTTAAAAAATTAAAATCATACATTAATTTTTAAAAATTATTTTTGATAAAAAGTAAAACACACCCTAAATTAAATCTTAATTTAATTGAAAAGAAATTGGTTGAATACATACCAGTGTAGAATACCCAACAAACGGGTCTCTTAGTGACAACATCTTCATAATACCAAAGAAACCCAACTTTTTGCCAAACATTACAAACAAACCCATTCAGGTGTCGCTGTCCCAGATACTCAGCCCCCTCAAGCCAGTTTGGCCGCAGAATCCCCACCTCCAGCTGCACACTTCGACACTCCTTCTTCCCTTCGAACGAATAAAAAAACGACGTCCCATTGTTCCATTCAAGGTCGTAAAGGAGGCCGCCCAATTGGCTCCGAATTATGTTGAAGTTCCGGCCGTTGGGCCAGTCGTACCAGAGATCGATCATCTGGAGAGTTCCGGTGAAGTTCATGAAAAGGACCGCGTGGAATTGCGGCGGCCATGGCGACGGAGTTGGGGTGGAGGAGGAAAGAGTAGAGGAGGAGGTGAAGATGATGAGGAGAGTGGAGAAGAAGAAGATGGATAAGGGTTTAGTCAGTGACGCCATTGTTACTTACTGTTTGAGTATTTCTTTTTGACTGGTTTTGATTACGAGAGAAAGAGACGCGCGGTATGGGGATTAAATAATAAGAAGTGTGGGACCTGTCGGTAATTTTATATTGAATTTTAAATTACATTGGAGCCCACGTTTTTAAGAATTTTAAATACAATTGTTTTTATTTTTTACTTCGGGGTTTACGAGGATAATTTTAAACGCACTCTACAAAATCATTTAGGTCCGTTTGGTTTACTCTTAGGAATACTATTATTAGTATTTCTAATAAAGTTAAACAGTAAAATTAACTTATTCTCAAAATATTATTTAATTTTTTTAAACCTCCTTAAATTTATTAATTTAACTAAACACCCCTAAATATATTTTTTAGCCCAACAACCCTTCGGAGGTGGTGGCCGACTGTCTATATTTAATGGGTAGATTGGGGGTGTTTTTATTAATTTTTAATATTTTATTATAGGGGTGTTTAGTAAATAAACAAATACATGAAATATTTTTATTAATTTCTAAATCCTACATCGTAATACTCGCCCAAGTTAACCTTTTTCAAAATATTATTCTAAAAAGTATCAGAATAATTAACCAAATAGACCCTTAATTTTAAGCGCATTCAAAGTTTTTAGAAACTATTAAAAAGACCTTTTATAACTATTGATAATTCACCTGAAGCAGGGGGATTTTTAATAGTTTAAGAAAGTATTCAATAATTATAAGGGATTATTGATGATTTTCAAAAAGCTTAAGAATGTTATATTAAACAATCTCATAAAAGAGTATATGAAATAAACTCAGAGGTTGATAATTAAACTCATATGTGAAGGGTTTTTATTTTTTTTAAATTAAGCAATGTTTTCGAGGTAAATAAATAATCTTATAAGTACCCTTTCAAATTCCCCTATTTTATTTTTCTTCTTCTATAATTTATAGTACATTCGATACCACCTATGGGTTTTATCGGTGATCAATAACTTGCTGTCGGTTAAACGGTTATTAATAGAAAAATTACAGATTCCTCTTGTAAGTCCTATCGGTGATTGAGATTCTCTATCAGTCACTTTTGGTCTTCACCTTTTTTTTCCACAATGTTTTTTTTTTTGAAAGATCTCAATTAAACTAACATATCTTCTGTCAATCTTTTAATTATCCAAGATCTTAATAAAATCACACATTCAAAATATAATAATACTATACTTACAAAGATTTGCATACAAAGTGAGGTAGCAAAAAATGAATAGAAGAGTGAAATAAAAAGTCAAATTCATTATATTCACTTTTTCATTCATTTGTTGTCACATTACTTTGTATGGAGATTTTTATAAGATTTTTTTGTAAATGTAGTATTGTTCTTCAAAATATTACCTCTAGATAATAAAAAAAAAAAAAAATGTAGTGATTTGGTAGGAACTATAGTGATGGAAAATGTGTTAAATGCATTTTGAAGAAGAAGCTAAAGAAATATGAATGAGGGTAATTTCGTCCTTCAAAATTAGGAANAAGAACCCTAACAATTTTAGACTAAAAAACCTGATAGCTGTACACCTTTTAGCTATGGTTTGCCTTTAGATTGAAAAAGTTAAAGGGTGTTAACTTAAATGTAAGGGAGCGAGGAATGGCGTACTTGGATCGAGGAATGGAGCTATCGTCAACAAATGAAGCTATCACCGTCGATTTCCAGCGAGGAACGGAGCTGCCGTCGTCGATTTCCGGCGAAGGAGGAAGACGTCGTCGATTTCACAGAGTTCAAACGCGATTTGGGTGGGATTTCAGAGAGAACAGAAGACAGAGCCGAAACCGTTACAATTTTCGCAAAGAACAGAGAGTTAGCTTAGAAATTTTCGTGAGGAAAACGGAGAAAGAGAAGAACTGAAGATTGAAGATTGAAGAAGACGAGAAAGGGGCGTGAGAATGATTGCATCGCGTTTAGGATTTAGGTTGTTAATATGGACCGGTTTTTCTGCCGGTCCGGTTAGACCGGCGGTTTAGTAATATTATCCGGTTTTTAACCGGTTTAAAACGGTTTAATGCTTATAATGGTTTTGAGAGTGAACCCAACCGGACACGTGACCCGTTCACGGTCCAACCGGTTGGATCGGCCAGTCCGGTCCGATTTTTAAAATAGTGCTCTTTGTTGCTTGGGTTTGTTTTGCTTGGTTAGCCCACTAGCTTCAATTTATTTGTAGCTCTTTCTCTCTACAGATAGATAAATGTACTTGCTAATATTTTTAATTTCTATATGTTGGCTGCAATTGGATGCAACCCTACATGCATGACATATCTAATGGAGAAAGATCTTTGATTTCAATTTTTCATAATTCTTTGGCATCAAATTCAGCATCTTCTTTTCCTTTAATGTTAAGAACATAAGAAAAAAGAAAATCTTATCCTGCTTTTGGTTTCTTCAGGTTCAAGTGTTGCATAGAAACCTCAAATGGAAGCAATCCAGAAAACCGGTAAACTAGAAAATGTAGACCTATTTACCACCTAGTTTGATAAAATTGTTCCCATCGTGAACCCAACAAATCCAAGCACCACTTCGAATACTCATATTTATTGTTTTAAAAACCGGACCAGAGGGCAACCCGTTCTGATGGTCTGGTCACGGTTCAACCGGTCCAACCTGTTGGACCGATGACATCATCACACATCAAAACATTTTTAAAAAAACTTCCTTTTTTAGATTTCTATTTTTTAATAACAACTTAATTAATATCCAACATGATTCAAAGTTTAAATTCAACAATAATCCTAACATAATTTAAGTATGTAACAACAATTCAAAGTCCAAATCCAAACATAATGTTGTATTTACATATTAAATGACAAAACAAAATACATAATAATTAATAACAAAACATTTGATGCAAGTGTTTTTTTCTTTGATCTGTCTCCATTTTGATTGAGCTTCACACACTAACATCAAAATTCATCACCATTATCACTATCATCATCATCATAACCATCATCTACACAAATTTCAGTAAAAAATAGAAATCATAAGTTAAAACTTTTAAGTTACTAAACATGCACTAAGCAATGAAAAGTGGTGGGGTGCTCATGTAAACCAGCTGCTTTGCTATCTTAAGAAAAGAGAACAGTCTCCTAACGTAAAATGTATCCCATGCACAAGATTTAGTTACTGAAGCACAGGCCATATCAACTTTGGCAAGGACTAGATCAAAAAAAAAAAAAAAAAACACTTCATTATGTATCATATGTCATTCCGGATAAAAAATATAAGACTAACTACCAAGAAAAGCTTCTGATAATGGCAAACCACAACAATTATTATAAGCAAATGTAAACAGGAAACCAGGCAAGTGTCGGTGTCTGCATTAGAAACTTACCCAGTACCACGATTTATCACAGCAGAGCTCGCTGGACGACCTGATCCTGGCCTGCATAATATCAATCATCAGTACAGACTACAAGTATAACATTCAAATCAACTAGAAATAGAATTACATTACATATGAAATTATAAGAAAGCACCTTACAAGCTATACTTTGAAGGGTATAAACCAAAATATATAGTAAACTAGAGTTATATAGTTCATCTGGGTGATAAAAACAGAAGCAACTTTCAAAATTTAATATGATTCTCCACATTAGGAGCCACAGTTTTTTATTCTAAATATAAACTTTTGATATGTTCACATCAAGCATAAAAAAACACCATACAATTTGGTAAAAAATAGTATAGTCAAGACCAACAATACTAGATATTTCCCAAAGAAAAACACAGTTCAATTAATTATATATGTGTATCAGAAAGATATTGTTTCAATAAGAAAAAAGTGAACTTTTAAAGGAAGGGAAGAAGGAATATAGTAAAGAAAAAAAAAATTACACAAATGTGAACAGCCTAGTGTTGGAAAAATGGCCATTTAGCAAATCACATGGGGTTAGAAGTGATAATAGAAAAAGGTTTAGGGACTTATATGTAATAGGCCAAAATGTTAGTTGTCCCACATTACTTAGGAATGAAAAGTGAGAAACTTTTGGGGCCTATATAAGGACCAAATCATTGTTATTTGGTATCCCAAGTGTAATTCCATTATACTTCTTTTATTTAGGGTTCTTTCTTTAAGGACCCTTTAGTTTGCAAGTTTTGTTGTATCTCCCCTTGTGTTGGGTATTTGTGTTGCCAAAAGTTTGTAATATTGTTGGAGATAGTGGAGTTTCCTTTTGCAGTGCCGAGGACATAGGTTTCAATACCGAACCTTGTTAATTCTGGTATTCTTTATTTTTGCATTTAATTTTGGCTATTTATTTATGCTTTACTACTTGTTTTATATATTCAATAGCTAGCGTTAGGTTTATGTTTTCGTTGCATAACAAGTGGTATCAGAGCCTAGGTTTAGGACAGTGAGTAGCTATTTGTATGGTTATATGCATGTCTAGGGAAATTCTGTCAAAAGATGATAAAAGTCTAAGGGACTGGATTTTAAGTGGGACCATTTGTGACCCCTCCATTGTTTCCTGGAATTTTTCTGGTGCGTATTTAATCATTAGCACTTACTACTACCTAGGGCTATTGTTGATTTGTTGGTTAGCTATTGAATATAATAATTTGTGGAGCTTGGTTATTGTGAATTTTGTTTACCAAGCCAATTGAGTAAGGCATAAATGGCATCATCGTCGAGGTATCACCGTCTGCGGCACCACCATCCGCACCAGTAAGAGATGATAGTTGCAAATGCAAAAATTGATGTTGAAAAATTTGATAGCCAAAATAATTTTGGCTTGTGGCAGGTGAGGTAATGGATAATTTGTATCAGCAGGATCTAGATATCGTCTGGAAGAGGAAAAACCAGAAGATGTCAATGAGAAAGACTGGGTGAGGGGAATGTAAAAGCGTGTGGGATGATTCGCTCATGCTTTGTAGAGAGCAGAAATATCCATTCATGAAAGAGACATTTACTAATAAGTTATGGAAGGCGCTGGAAAACAAATACATGAAGAGCAGTAATGAGAATCGGCTCTATTTGATTAAAAGACTGTTTTGTCTTCAGTTGAGACCTGTCCATTCATGAAAGAGACGTCTGCCAATAAGTTATGGAGGCGGGAAACAAATACATGAAGAGAAGTAATGAGAATCGGCTCTATGTATGAAAAGATGTTTGTCTTCAGTGGAGACCTGGTACGAATATCAGTAGCCATATTGATACATTTAACAGATTACTGGTGATTTGTTAAATTTGGATGAAAAATTCAAATATGAACATAAGGCTATGTGTGTAATTGGATCTCTTCGGATGAGTTGGACTATCTTCGTATTACAGTTTCTCATGGGAAAGAAAAATTGTCCTTTGAAGAAGTTTGTTCTGCTCTGTCCAATCATGAAATTCGGAAGAAGGATCAGAAGGAGAATAGAGAAAGTAAGCAGAAGCTCTTGTAGCAAGAGGGCGGAGTCAAAATCAGAGTCATAAGAAGGAGAGAAGAGGAAGATCTCGCTCAAAGGGAAAACCAATAGGGATCAATGTGCCTTTTGTCGTGAAAATGGGCATTGGAAGAAAGATTGTCCGAAGTTGCAAAAGAAAGAGGGCAAAGCTACTTCGATGCATGCGTTGTGAGCGTGAAGAGGATGAGTTAGATTTCTGTCTAGTAGCCTACATCCACCTCTGGATCAAATGAAGGATATGGATTCAGGTAGTACTATCATATGCGTCCTCACCAGGACTGGTTCTTTAATTTTGAAGAACGTGGTGGAGTTGTTTATAGGGCCTGATGATGCTTGTAAAACAAATGGGATAGGTTCATTCGGATCAGATGGTCAACTAGAACTGACAGATGTTCGGTATGTACCGAAGTTGAAAAAGATCTCATCTCTTTTGAAGCCTTGGAATCTAAAGGCTTCACGGTAAATATGCTAGAGGAATTCTAAAAGTTTCTTCAAGAGCTCTTGTGGTATGAAAGACAGAAGAGGAAACAAACTTGTATTACTATAATGGTAGTACAGTTATTGGAACGACGGCTGCAAGATACCGGAGGATGCAGATTTAGATATGCTCAAGCTGTGACATATGTGTGCGGAGTGGCGTGCTGTCGTAGGCACCCAGAATTAAAACCTAAAAATACACGTAGTAGTGTAAGTCAGGGTCGCCACGAAGTGTCTAGTGAATTTGCTGTTATGTGAACAAGGCTGGGGGGGTTCTGTGTAAAATAGGAAACATTCTTAGCAAAGACCAAAAATAAAAACAGTTCAATTCGAAATCAATTAATATACGAAAATGGTCTCCGTCAACACCACCATTGGAATCTTACAATGATCATTGATGCGAAGATAATCAATTCACACATTGAATATTCACCGTTGGAACTAATTTCCTATCTCTCCTAATTGTAATTAATCAGGAAACAAGCGATCCTAGTTAATCTACCCCTAAACAACCCTAGACAAGCGCTCAAGATTAATCTAGTGGCAGCCTTAAGAATTAGAGAGATCGATGAAGCTAAACAACACAAACACAAGCGGTTGTATTTAATTTAGTTGAATGTCTTCATAAGGTTATTAATTCCTGACGCAGCAAATTACTAACCTAATTGCTTCACAAGTTGGAGGGATCAAACAATTACGGATTTGATATCAAACTTAGCGGGTAGATTTCAACAAATAATACACTAGTAGGCCTCCTAGTAATTAAATGCATCAATCATGAAAATATGCACAGAATAACATTCAATACTCAAACACGAAAATTGAACACTAAATAATAGATTAGATCTCACAGTTGGTTGATTCCAAGGTCTCCGTTTCGACGACCAAGTCACAAAAGTTTTGCCGCTCATGGCCATCAACAAAAGCTCAAAAAAGAAAGAAAAATTCCAGAGAGGAAAGAAGAGAGAGGCGTGGTCCCCAAACCTAACTGATCCCCTTTAAAATCCAATTTTAGAATTCGAATCCACTCAATCTCCTAAAAGAAATATTCTCCTATCCTAAAATAACATTAATCCTAATTTAATTCTAACGGAAATAAAATAAAATAGATTCCTAATAAAATAGGAAAGGGGTGTTCCAGCTGTAATTTCGTACAGCATGTATGTCTTCAAAACGTGCAATAATAGACTGACTTGCCTAACAAGTCAGAACGCTCCAGGACGTCGGTAATGCAGGTGCGTCAACTTCAAGCTCGATTACAACCTTTATTCAGCCAGTATCTCTCAAAACTCAAAACATGAAAGTTGTATTCTCTTTCTTAGCGTTCCAAGATTTTGAATCATTCAATCGGAGCTTGGATGAGAGAATTATGCCCAGAATACGAAGCAGTGGCGAAACTATCCGAATTCCCTAATTAATTCCGTTTTTCAATTAACACCTCCATTTGCTTCCTAAACCAAAATAAAGTAATAATGAGACAATTAGGAAACAATACATATAAAAGACTAAACATAAGGGGCTTAAATATGACATTTTGCATTCCCATCACGGGCATACCCGACACAGGTGGAGTTTGAAACAACAGTTGAACCAGATAGTGTCCACAAGACAGAAAGTGATTTTGAAGTGTAATGTGGATACTATAGATGAAAAGGAGATTTTAACCCAAGAATCTCCTCAGCAACAGGAATCGATTGCACACAATAGGCCAAGATGAGAAATTCGCAAGCCTTCTCGTTTCGCTAATATGGTGGCTTATGCCTTCCAATCGTAGGTGGTGATATTCCTACTACTTATAAAGAGTAGGTAGGAGTTCAAATTGTGAATCATGGAAACCGACCATGAATGTGAAATGCGATCCCTACATAAGAGGCAATTGGGTGTAAATGGGTGAATGCAAAGAGAAGGGATTTTCTAATAGAGAAGATGTTCGGCACAAGGTTAGGTTGGTAGTAAAGGGATACGCTCAAATGGAAGGATTTGATTACAGTGAAGTGTTTTCTCCTGTGGTAAAGTATTTCCATTCTAATTTTGCTAACCTGGTGGCATAGTTTGATTTTGAACTAGTTCAATTGGATGTGAAAATCACGTTTCACATGATAGTGTGAAGAGGAAATCTACAAAACTCAGCCAGATGATTATAGGGTTGCTGGAAAGAAAAATTGGGGGTGCAGATTGAAGAAATTGTTATATAGTTTGAAGCAGTCACCAAGACAGTGGTACAAACGATTTGATCAATGTATGACGGGCCATAGGTACACAAGGCCTGATATTTCACAAGCAGTTAGTATGGTGAGCAGGCATATGCATGATCCTGGTAAAGGACATTTGCAAGTTGTGAAATGGTTTCTACAGTATATTTTATGTACTATAGATATTGGTTTAGTTTTTGTGTGGGATTATATTGAAAATGGGAAAATGATTCTCCAGAAGATTGGCACAGAAGATAATCCTACAGACAAGTTGACTTCAGTAGTGACAAGGGTCAAGTTCATTTATTGTTTGAACTTGATCAACACCCTACGAGCTTGACTGTGCCTTTTGGCGCATTTGAAGGTGTTGCAAAATTTGACAGAAGAATACAAAACTTTGAAGGTTTGCTAATTCGCCAAGGTGGAGATTTGTTGGAAAAATGGCTCATTTAGCAAATCACATGGGGTTAGAAGTGATAATGGAAAAAGGTTTAGGGACTTATATGTAATCGGCCAAAATGTTAGTTTGTCTCACATTGCTTAGGAATGAAAAGTGGGAAACTTTTGGGGCCTATATATAAGGACCTAAATCATTGTTATTTGGTATCCCAAGTTGTAATTCCGTTATACTTCTTTTATTTAGGGTTCTTTCTTTAAGGACCCTTTAGTTTGCAAGCTTTGTTGTATCTCCCCTTTGTTTTGGGTATTTGTTGTATTGCTCAAAAGTTTATAATATTGTTTGGAGATAGTGGAGTTTCTTTTGCAGCGCCCGAGGACGTAGGTTTCAATACCAAACCTCATTAATTCCTGTTATTCTTTATTTTTGCATTTAATTTTGGCTATTTATTTATGCTTTACTACTTATTATTATATTCAATAACTAGCGTTAGAGTTTATGTTTCCGTTGCATAACACCAAGCCCCTCCAATGCCAAACTAAAGTAAACGTGCAATAAATACATCAATTAATATCATAAATAAATTCAAGAATAATAGTTCCAGGAGAGGTATATATATGGGCAGTTCTCCTATTATCAGTAATTTCTATTCAAGTAATATTAGATTACTAATAGTTACTGATCCTGGTTCAATCAACAGGCACATATAAATCTAAGCAAATCAAACAACCATAATCATTGATTTTAAAAAGCATAACCAGCCCCTGAAACCCTTGAATCACCAGACACAAATCCAGTAAACACAATAGATAATGTCAATTAGCTTAACATCACAACATCAGTAAATCATAAGTACTTTCTATAATAAACAAATAAATAATATCCACATACGTCATAACCACAGTCCTCTTCCGCTCACATTCACACGAGCTGAGATAGGCACAGTGGCGGATTTACTTAATGACGAGTGGGGACCACGACCCCCACTCAAACTTTAAAAAACTTCGGATTGTATAAATATTTATATTTAGTTGCATTTTACCCCCTATAAGACTTTGACATTTTGCCCCCACAAGAGTTTGACATTTTGCCCACTATATAACTTTGACATTTTGGGAAAAGAAAAGCTTTTTTGGTTTTTGAACTCTTACAGTACCAGAACAAAACACACGCGGAAACCTCTCTTTCCCTTTTTCTCTTCCCTTTTTCTCTTTGGAAAAATTTTTTTTTGTTTATTTTTTGCCCCCATCGAGTGAAATTCCTGGATCCGCCACTGGATAGGCACTTCCGCATTGGGGCCCACAATTTCAATTTTCATGAGCTTTCCATCAAGCAATACATTGTTATACCGCTTAAGAGCCGCAAATGCATCACTTCTTCTGGTATACACAACTTCAGCTGAACCCTGTAACATGTAACTAGCATATTTACTCAGAAATACAACATCACTAATAATGCCAAACCATCAAAGTAATAGGCCAAAACAACAACTACAAAAACCAATCAGATATTCTTGGTCAATATCTAGAAAAGAGATCAATCTCATGTAAACAATTAATTGTTTATTACCTGGATCGAGGAACGGAGCTGTCGTCAACGAATGGAGCTGTTGCCGTCGATTTCCAGCGAGAACAGAGTGTCGTCGTCGTCGGCAAGGGAGGAAGACGTCTTCGATTCCACGAGGGAGGAAGACATCGTCGATTTCCACAAGGGAGGAAGACGCGTTCGTCGATTTCAGAGAGCTCAGATGCGATTTGGGTGGGATTTAGAGAGAAATTTTCGCGAGAACAACACAAGAGAAGCTGATAAATTTCGCAAAGAGAGAGAAAATGAGAAAATTTTCGTAAGAAATTGAGAAAGAGTGAAAGAGAAGAACTGAACGGATGAGAAAGGGCCTTTCGTGTATTAGGGGTTTTTAGATTTGGACGGTTTTTCCGCCGGTCAATATCTGGGTTGCAAACATCCGTTTAAAGCAGGTTCATTACATATAACGGTTTTAAGGTTGACTCGAACCGGACACATGACCGGTTCCCGTTCAACCGGTTGGACCGGCCGGTCCGGTCCGGTTTTAAAAACAGCTCATATTGTCAATCAACAACTCGCGCACACTGCCAACAACCACTATGAAAACCAAATCACAAACCCAACTCCAATTAATTCAACGAGACAGTAAATAAAAACTCTTCAAATATATCCATAAGTTATATTTCTTAACTATAGTTTACAATCTAACCAAGAACAGGAGTATTGAATAATTATAATTTATAAATTGGACAAAATTATATAGTCGGAAATCGTAATGATTCTCTTATTCCAGTAACCCTTTAAATGGACAAAGAATTAAGATGTTGACAGAAAAACTCTATGATTTCAGATCAAGAGAAAGCTGAGACAATGGTGATACAATAATGGCCAAGGTGGCAATAAATGAGCTTGGTCAAAGGCTTTTTGCAGCTCCTGCCCGTGAAAAATGTGGAAAGCAAGATATATCCTACAATAAGCAAGGAGATAATCGCACCTTGTTGCGTCCTGTGATAAAATGAAAAATTACCAAGATGAGAAAAGGAAAAAAAAAAAAAAAAAAAGCAACAATTTCATGATTCCCACACAAACTACTATTGCCTTCGGTTATGACTACATAAGAGTCACAAGAAGCAAGAGAATGCTGTGAATGGTAACTCACTAACTCAAGCTCACCTATACAAATAAAGACAAATATAGCAACTGTAAGGGGACTGCAAACACAACCTTTAAATTTTGCCATTGTTATGAATCAAATTACAAAATCCAATCCTAAAATTTAAGAGAGTACAGTCTCAATTGTGAGATAATATAGCAGGACATCACCGTCCAGTCCACGAAAAGTTAAAAATCTTCAGTCCAGATTTAGACAACTAAAATCATCGTCCTTCCAGATTACAGCACTATTTTTCAGCTTTTTTTCCCAGACTAGATTAAAGATGACAAATTTATGGGCACAAGTAACAAAAATATTTCCTACATCAATAAACATTAAAACAAAAAATGAAAATGGAATCACACATGCTATAATCTAATACAATTTATCACACGAAAATGGAAAATAACAACAAATATCCCGAAAATGGCTACTTTATCCAAGAGATGATACTTGCTGGTGAATTGAGAGCACATACCGGAACAAGAAACAATTTCTAAATAGCTGCGCCTTTCGTAAGCATCAAAACACTACACAATTAATTCATATCTCATCAAAACGCACTTCATGAACAAACCAAACCATATTAATCAATAAAGTTGATATAAGCTATAAATTCTGTGAATCAAGAGAGAATAATACGCTGAAAAAATGGTAGAGATCCACTGAAGATTACGATTCGTTAGAGGTGCAGTTAATCCTCTTCTCTTCTTCGCCATCACGACCACCGTTTCGTTATAATTGACCGAATATCTACAACAACAAAAAATGTCGTTCTCCCTATTGGAAAGAGCGAGAGCGCATGTGAAAGAGACAACATCTTCGTCTTGGTGATGTTGTTGTATGTATGGTGTCGTTTTTGGCCGGAGTTAATGATGGAATGCGAAGACAAGAGATAGCCGGCGATGCTGGTCGTCTTTTATGTCAGACGACGACGGCAGCGGCGGGGGTGCGCCTGGGTGGCGGTGCGAATGATTTTCCAATTTCAGGGGACTGGGTTCTTAATTTAGGGTTTGTTTTTTGTGTCTAGGGGTTGAAATATTTGGGAGGCAATTTGGGATTTCGGGTTTAATTATTTTATCTTAAATCGTGGGAAACTGACGTGGCAGATGGTGGCATTTGCCACATGGGCCACCACGTCAGTTTGTAGGATTGTTAGTAAGAATGGTTTAAAATAAGAATAATGTTATATCTATTAATCAAATTATTCTAATCTAACTATTAATAATTAAAATTTTTTTTTATTTTTTTTTTACTTTTAGAGGGACTAACGTAATAATAAGAGAGATCTATCATGTCAGTTTGTACTTAAATTAATATAATTTTAGTTAATACACATAACATTATTCTTAAAATAATACTGCATCAATTAACACTTTCACTAACACTCTTATCCTGACTTATGTGGCAGTTGATGTAAATGATGTCACATCATCAACCACATCCAATCTTGCCGCATTAGTCCCCTTCCAAACCAAAAAAAAAAAAAATTTGTCAAAATAGTAATGTTACACTTTCATCACTCTTTTACACAATTTTCATTACATCATGATATGACATATGTTACAACCACACAAATTTTTAATTATTTTAAATTTTTAATATTATAATAGAATTTGTGTGGTTGTAGCATATACCACATCATGATGTTTATAAAATTGTGTAAAAAAATAGTGTAAATATAGCATTACTCTTGCCAAAAACCCATTTACCACATCATGATGTTTATAAAATTGTGTAAAAAAAATAGTGTAAATATAGCATTACTCTTGTCAAAAACCCATTTTGAAGTTGTTTCAGTCCCATCTCAACTTCATTACACCAAAACCAGTCGTTCTCCAAATCAACCACATCCAATCTTGCCACATCAGTCCCCTTCCAAACCAAAAAAAAAAAAAAAAAAGGGTTTGCCAAAACCCATTTTGAAATTGTTTCCAATCATATCTCAACTTCATTACACGCCAAAACCAGTCCTTCTCCAAAATCGTCGTAATCAATATGATCCAAAAAAGTCAAATCAATACATGATCGGCAAGATCTAATTAATCATATGTCATTTCGATAGATTTCAACCATTTTTTAATATTGGTAGCAAACTCTCAATAATATGTGGATAAATAAAAGTGTTTTAATCAATTTATAAGCTTTTATTGTAAAAATATTTAGTTAAATTAATAAACTTAAGGGATTAAAATAATCTAAATATTTTTAAAAAATGCTATTAAAAGATGTACTAAAATCTTCTCATAATTTTATCATATTTTTCAAAAATGCTATTCTACAAAATTTATCAAACAGAGCTGTTATCAGGTGTATGTTACCCTCTTCAAGATTGGTTAATATCTATTTCATCCATTTTATTATAAATATATAAAAAACACTCACAACGTTAGTGATATGTCAAGCCTTCATCCAATTTTAAAATTAAAAATTTATTTTACCCCCTTATATTACTTACCAATTCAACAAATTTTTTAAATCCTTCACTCAATAAATATCCAAATCTACCAAATTAACTTACAATTATACTATCCCAAGCAAAGTTACACATTTAGTTGAATTTAAAAATAATAAAACATATCATAATTGTGTTTTTAAAGAGATAAAATAGCTAAATAATAAATTATAATTATAAGAAATGAGATTAGTATAAATGAAATAATTTAAACATGATTAAATAAATAATAGACGTTGAAATATTGCTTTATCAATTTTAGAAATAATTATATTTTAGTTAAGACATTAAAAATTTATTAAAGCTAGCCATTTAAAAAAAAGGACATAACTAGATAGTCCGCAATAATTATTTTAAAATTATAGGGTATTCAATAGATCCTGAAAATTAATTAAGATGCATGCAAATTGATCCGAACACTCCGATTACCAAAAAAAAAAAAAATTATTTAAAACAAATTTTATTGTAATCAAACATTTTGAAATTTGTATTATGAGACAAACAAAGGCTAGATATTTTGTAAAACCTTCAAGTAATTTTAGTTTGAGACAAAATCAAAATACTGGTATTTTAGTTAAATTTTTTTTTATTAATAAAAAGAAGTAATATAAAAAAATATTGTTAAAGCTGGTAAGTCATGGAAAGGGCATTTTATTAAAAGGCCAAATCAAGTTCAAATTTAATTAAAATGTCATATAGTTTGAAAGTGTTAAGTAAATAGCCTTATTATTGATTAAGGTTAATTAAGATTAATGAAGTATTGTGTAATCTTTTAAAAATTAC